TTTACCAGACACCAAATGTGCCAGAGCCTTGATCTCGGATTTCTCAGCCTCCAGAACTGTGAGAAATAAATTTGCATTGTTTATTAGCCACCTAGTCTATGTTATTCTGTTACAGCAGCCAAAATGGGCTAAGATATGGTATTAATATTTCCAAATTTGTTTTGTTGACCACCGATCATCTGGCAGGCATGAATGCCTTCAGTACCAAAGGAGGCAGTATATATACCCAGCAGCAAAGGGAGACTTGGTCCATGAAAAGCCTCAATTAGGAAAATCTAAGAAAGAGAGCTTACCGAAATGTTCCCTGGTCTCCTACACTTACAGATATTACAACTGCATGAGAAAGGGTTTAGATGTTTATTATCTTCCTTTAGGTGACTATGGCTCATGTACATCCTTGAGAGAGGCATGATGTTTACCTTCATTTGCTGTCATTTATAATTTCTGCCAAAAGTAGGTTATGCATTTCCCTATATTCTTAAACAGAATTTACCAGCTACCATTTAATCTCTCTTAATAAATCACAGTCATCCTTTTGATGTACAAGCTGTACAATCATGGAGAAATGTCTGCAGGGGTTCTTCAATGTGCAGAGTTGCCTGCCCTACCATAGAATGGCTCCAGGCTGCTATGCTTTTTCACTTCTCATATATTTTTTTAATAGTTTATCTCTCTCCTCCCTTGTTGTCAAGCTGCCAGTCAGCTGTCACGTTTTACTGCTGTCAGTGAGCCTGCCTTTATCGCACCCCCAATTTGATGCTGCTAATCTGCTGTCAGCTGAAAAATCAGATAATCAAGACCTCTGAAACTGCATTTACAATAAGTGATGGGCTGAGCAGTGGATGGAGATTTTGAGATATGAGTTCCAGTTCCTGCTCGGTCTATATCTAGCTGTGTGATTACCAGAAGACACAACTTCTCTGGGCCTTGATGTCTTCATCCATAAAAAGAGGAGCTGAGTCTATGTGTATGTGTGTGAGAGAGAGAGACAGAGACAGAGAGACAGATCGCATCCAGACTTGAATCTTAAGTTTTCCCTGGCTATCAGAAAGAATATATAAAATTGTTAAATTAAATTCAAGGATACATTTTAGTCATCACTTATTTAACCTCATTCCTCTGAATTTACTACTGACCCTCTCCTTAAAACTCTCTTCTCTTTGTTCCACAAGATAATTCTCTCATTGTTGACCTCCTGACTTTTTTACATTTTCTTCTCATTTCACTCCTGGGCTCTCCTTTCACCAGCCCCTTAAGTGTTAAGAGTGACAAAGACCAGTTCAAAGTTAAAGGTCAGGGTAATGATGAGAAACTAGCAACAAGCCTGAGAAGCAGCAACCTGTGTGTCCTGGAAGCCAACTGAAGAAAGTGTCATAGTGTGTCAAATGCTGCTGCTATGTTAAGTAAGATGAGGACTGAGAATTGACCACAGGATTTAGAGGCATGGAAGTCATCAGTGACCTTGATAAAAACAGTTTCAGTGGAGTGGCTTTAAAAGAGAACAGTAAGAATGAAATTGGAAAGAACAATTCTAAACAAATATTTCAAGAGGTTTTGCTATTGAGGGAAAGAAAGAAATGAGGCAGCAGCAGAAAGAAGTGGAATCAAGAGAGAATTTTTTTCAAAGATGTAAACAAATAGCACTTTTTGTGTGCCAACAAGAATGACCCAGAAGAGAGAAAAACTGATGATGCAGAACAGAGAAGGAAAAATTGCTAGAACAATAGTCCTTAGGTATGCGAGAAGAATGGGCTCTGGCAAAGAAGTGGAAACAGGGGCTTAGACAGAAGCAACGTTAGTTCATCCGAAGTAACAAGTGTGAAGGTGGAGAATATACGCTCAGAAGCACACAACCGGGCAGACGTGGTGGTGCCAGCGTATAGAAATTCTCTTCTGATTTCTTCTACTTTCTCAGTCATAATCTGAGAATGAAGACAGAATATTTGGTATTAGGTGCTTACAAAGAAAGGAAAATGCATGATTAGTTATCTAGAAGAGGGAAAATGTGGTATGCTTGCCATGCAGCTCAAAGGGTCCATCTGAATTTAGGTGTCATGAATTTAGAGTAGGCTAATAATATGGCTGGATGTTTTTCTCCTAATCAAATATGAAGGAAAAGGTGCAAAAGATTTGAGAGTATATGAATGAGAGTAAGTATGCTGACAGAACACGGAAGTTAAGCTGGAGAAAGAAGAAGGAAAGAAGACAAGAGAAGAATGAAAATGAAGAGTTGGCTCAATCAATGGATAGTTGGTTCTGGTAAGGCCAAAAGGCTGTTTGAGTCGGGGTGATAAAGAGAATAAGTAAACACACTTCTTTATACTAGGCTGTTCCTTTGCCAGAGTACCTCTCTATTTGTATGTGTTGATTAAGAGAGGGCAGAGAGGAAGACAGTCTTTTATATTTAGGTGGCAGTGAATGTGCTAGGTTACAAAACAATGGGAAGGGAAGAGTTAATAAGATGAATTAACATTTATTGGGGGGTCTAGTATGTTCCAGGCACTATGCTAGGCATTTGGTATGTATTATTCCATTTAGTCACTACATCATGCCTATGTGGTGACAAGATAAATATAATCATAATCTCTAAAGAACCTAAGCTCAGGGTCATTACACTTGCACAGGTCACAGAGCTAGCAAGTGGTGGTCAAGACTCAGGGTTTAAGAACTTTCTCATCCCAAAATGCTGAATACAATAGTAAAATATTTTCAAGCAATATTTTTTCCTGCTACTATTCTTCTGGTCTTTGAGAATGAGGCAGCAGAGAAGCGAAGAGAGCAATACCTAACAGTAGGTGTCTCAAGCCAAATATTACTGAATTCCTAAGTGACAGACATACTCTGAGCTTTAATAGTTATCAACTTTATAAACCCTCATATATTTTGCTGAAACATGGCTTTTCCCTTTCCCTGATTAATACCCATTATATTATATTATTATAGCACATTGTATTAATAATTTAATTATACCTTCTGCTTTGTTTTTACTTAAATTCATTTTTGCCATGACCAAATAATATTTGTATAGGGAGAAAGATATAAGCATTCAAATATTGTTTTTTTTAACTACTTGGGTTATTTTGCCTTTGGATTTACTAAATATTTTTCAACATCTCAACAAAATAATACTCTTTTAAGACTGCAGGCATTAGAATGATTGTCATTCATGCAAATAATCACTTACTTACACTATATGAGTTTGGGCTGGATAAAGCAAATTACCATTTGAAAATAATTCAAATAACACTCTGGGCTAAGACCTTGCTTATGAATGTTATCTTGGCCACAATATTTCTTAACCTTCTTCCATTTAGCTAGATTTATTTATGGTAATACAGTCCAAATTAATAAACTATTCAATTGCCACAGGTGTATTAAAATATATGATGTTGTAGGAACATATCAGAAACTAATGAATTTTAAAACATTATATATTTAGAATTCTATGGCAGTAATAATTAAGATGTGCTATAACCACCTATTCACCTTAAAGTTACTATTATATATTTTGACTATATATTATATGAAAAACTTAAAAACATGTAAAAAAAATAAGGATCATATTTTTAAAGTATGATCTAAAGTATAAGCTATGTTCTAGCTAATCACAGATCCAAAGTATAACAATTATATTTTTCAAAAGTTGTAATTCTCATCACACATAAGAAAACGTCATATACACAAATACATATTATATATACAAATATACATGAAAATCAATTGTGATTTTGGTTTCACTTAGCTTGATAGGTTTCAAAACTGCACATAAATCATTAAATGTTTCTGACAAATGACCTATAGTGGCAAGAAGCTTGGACAGTAAACAGAAAATTGATTCCAGAGTCATAGGATCTAAACTTTAATCCAGTCTATGACAATAATCAGCAGTGTGAGCGTGAGGAAGTCTTTGCTTCTCTGGGTCTCTGTTGTCTGAACTCCACAAAGTAAGGATAGGGCAAGGCAGTCTAACTTAAGTTTTATGACTCACTAACTTGATCTGGTATTAGGTAGATTTTTCTTCAAGAAATATTAACTAGTAAGACACTCAAATAAATCAGCATTAGGGGTGTGGATGAGGACTACTGTCCTGACAGTAATATCTGGGTGAACTCAGTAAGTCCAGAACATAGAGACTATCGCTGACCTCCTACATAGCATGTATGGACAATAAAGTGTTTCCTGCCTTCATTTCTAGGATGGGGAAGAGACAGCGGTCCCTGAACTCTTTTTAAGGACATAGTCAGTTACAAAACAGCAGCCTCCCCAGCTAGTATGAGTCCCACTGAAGTAAACTTTCTATTCACAATGGGGGAATAGTCCCGGTGGTAGTAAAAACAATTTTCTTAGGTTTAATCAAAAGTGAAAAGGAATTCTAGAATGTTCCCTTTGAGCCACATCATCCATTACTAATTCGGAGTAGACCCAGCAACAAGGGTAGTAAAAAATGTCCTTAGTAACTGAGAAAGAGAAATGGCAATTAAGTGCATTCTCAGCCCAGCATAGAAGATCTAACTCTTTACTAAGATAATACAAATGATAAAAAATGGAAGAAGGAAAAAATAGAAGAAAACAGCATGGGAAATGAAAGTAATCCAAGCAGTGAGATTTAACATTGATTTACTTAGAACAGTTACTATTATATATATAAACCAATGGGTATAAGCTGAATGCAAAGATTGAGAAATATGCTCAATAATGACTTCTGTAACAAAATGACAAATAAAGAAATAAAACAGTAAGTGTTAAAAGACAAAGCAGCTTGCTTTGGCAAACCAATAAATAAGAGAAAAGAAAGAACTCAGTATCAGAACTAACCATTCAGTGATAGGTTGGACATGTGATTTTTTAAAATCTGTAAATCACAGCAAGATGAAACAGAACTCAATTTTCTAATTAACCATACTTATGCTAAAAATTTAAAACTGGCAAGAACACTCATTTCTATACATTTGGGGAAGAATTCATGACAGAATATTGAAAACGGAGTCAAACATACTGACCTGCTCACATCAGGAAACCTGATGGGAAAGTAAACAACTTGGCATTTGGGTCTGATGATGCTTTCCAGATCCTTGGGCCTGTGATCAGGAATCAGCTTCACAAATTTTCCAATAGAAGTGAGAAATGACTCCATATTAAAAACTGAGTTGAATACCACTACATCAGTCACCAGGCTGTAAAGGGAAAGAATAAATTCAAATGATGAGCCCACATTAGCTCAGTTATTTTTTATGAGCCTAAGACCTCTATATTAATCAGAGTTTATACTGTACCTTGGGTTTGCAAAGGACTCTGCACTTCCGTCAGTATTTATCAAGACGCCTCTAACAGATAAGTTAGCTTCATTAGTATTATATCATGGGAAGTTACATTGTTGGCATCAGGGAGGAAAGGAATTAAATGACTTAATGGGATCCTATGAGGCTTCAAACCAAAGCATATTTTGCCACAATGTCAGGAACTTTCCAAACTGTATTATCAAAAGCAGTAAGCATAGTAGGACCTTTTTCTTTGTGGCCCAATTACCCACGTTGGGTTTCTATGTCAGTGATGTACATCAGTTTACACCACACTACTGAGAACAGAGCATCTGCCATACTTTTCACTATCTTCAAGGAAACTAATTCAAGTAAAGCTATTTCATACTAGAGCACACTTTCAAAATACATGGTTAAAACCTATTTCTTGTTTTAACTCTTGCTTCAAGAAACTGTCAGGTATTTTAAAGTTCTGGGACTATACAGGAAGGTTACACAAATAACTTATTCACTAATATATTATATTTGGAGTAGTCAGAGAAATAGAAGTAATTGGTGGAAATGGACCCAGAAAACCCTATCACTAGGTCTTATTGATCACGTAAAGGAATGTATTATAAAAGACTACAACACCATAGACCTTCAGAAGCAACAAAATAAATATAATGTTGGCTATTGCTTTTGATGAAAAGACAGTGTTCCTCTCCTTAGTATTTTTTAAAAATAAAAATAATCTAAAATACATAATTATAAGAAAATGTGAAAACAAAGTTTATGTGTCATAAACATGTCAGCAGTTTTCAGAATTGCCTATAACATTTTCTTGGAAACCAATGAATACAAATGATAACCATGGGTGAGCTGGGTAAAACCTGAATATGTAGTGTATTACCTTTATCAGTCAAAAAAACTGACAATAAAAATCGTTGTTTTGATTTTTTAAATGACCCTCCTCGCTTTAAGCAATGATTCAGTATCTCAGTGTCACTGGATCTCAATAAAATGCACACAAATGCTTTGATAAGAAGGTATACAAGATCAAATAGACAAAGCAGTTAGTTTTATTTCGCCCCAAAAAATGATAGATCAAGAAAACTGAAAGAAGACACGTTAAGTCCATAAGACTGCAAAACACAAATAAGCAGAGCTTATAGAACAGGAATACCATAGAAAATCCTCACTTTAGTTTAATTCACACTTACTGAGACAAAGTTTCTATTATTAATACATACCGGAATGAAAAACTAACAAAAGGAATGTTGATTTCCCACCCCCATGCCTCCCCCGCAAATTGCTTTTCCATACAAGTATTTTTTCTAGTTTCGATCTAGTGCAAATTTGGGGGTAGAGGTGATTACAACATGGGTAATACAAAAGAATGTCACAGAAATGCTGACACAACACCAAGCAATAAGGAAACCAGTATAATAATATACCAAAAGTTGAAGGATGTTTTACAGCTAGTCTGTTTTCACCATATGTCACATATTGTAATAGCGACCCACAGGTCATAATATATAGTTACGACATGTGTTCATAAGTCAGAGGGTTAGTGAAACCTCTATTTAAGGTGAGTGCTTATGTCAGTCATCTCTAAAGTCCTTAACTGCCACACGGTCAAGAAAGAAATCTGACAGTGCCAACAAAAGCAGAAGTCAGCAAGAAAACTAAAGAAACATTTGAGGAAGCAGGAGTCATACTTTTCAAAGAGAATCTGAACAGGACTGCTTTCTGACACTCTTATTTTTCCTCTGGACAACCGTGAACCATTTTTTTCTCACTAAGAAGCCAACCGATGATCAAGTCCACTTCTTTCTCTCCAAGATTGTCCATCAGTTTACCCTCTTGAGAAGAGCAATACTGAAAAATCATGCACAAGCTTTTATAGTCTCATTCCCTACGAGCAAAAATTATCTTTTATGAAAAACAGACAAGGGGCGGTAAGATAAAACTTTTTTTAGATATTTGCCCTCATAGGGCATGCAACTCAACAGCTTACATTCTTAAAAACCCAGTCTATGCTAAATTAAAGATCCAAGATAGTTTATAGAAATGTGCTTTTCCATGCATTTCCTCCCTGATATGAGTGGGTATAACTTCCATTAACTTTAAAGCCACCCATAAAGGGAAAAATAGACTTAATTTTTTTTCCTCAGTTATTTCTCCAGGGTAATAAACACACACTATCTGAGGGAAAGAATGATGCTAATTCAAGAAATCAAAAGAATATTACAAATGTTTTCCATATTGATAAAGCACAAAATGATTTTATTTTTGTTTTTAAAACATATTTCCCTTCTCCGTTTCAATATAAAATAAAGTATTTTAATTTTATTATGAAATTTTAAAACGGTTGCTTTTTTATGAGACGTTTGGCGTGAAGCAGTTCCACTCTAGTTTGATGGTACTGCTACTTCACAATTGAAGCAGCTTGTAAAAATGATGACAGGAAAACATTTACAAAATGCTCAAAACACAGAAGTATTACCACATAGCTGCTTTGCTATGTCAACTAAACTATGGAATATACTTGCTGGAGTTGGGAGTCTGTTTAGACACGTCACCAATCCCAACTGCTAATAACTATTTAACAAGGTGAGTAAAATGTACCCAATCACCGCCAAATCGACTCCATTTGGCTGTTGCAGTTATGTGAATAGGATCCAACAGAAAAGCCATTTCAGAGTTGTTATTAATTTCTTTCATTAACAAGCTTCAGGAGATAGCCTTTGTTGAAGTAACAATAGAGAAGGACCATCACCTCTGAAATGTCATGGTATTTTAAGACTTTGCAATTTCAGAAAACTCAACGAGGGGAAAAAATAACAACACTACCACCACCTAAAGATTCATTTTCCATAGTTTTCTCCTACAAACAACCATCTATAAAGAAACAGGTGGCAAAGGTCTACATATATTGATATAATCTATACCTACCATGAGAGAATTTGGTTGTATCCATATTGGAAATCCCTCTCCTGACATTTCTTGACCGGATACACCAATTGGTTCTCGTGGAAGTAGAGAATCTTTTTCAATTTCCCAAGGTCAGGCCGAAGGGCAGCCAATTCAGTCAGGTTAAGCACTGAGCTTGCAAAGAGGAGCCTAGGAAACAAGGAAATTAGGGTTTACTGTCCCAAGCATGCTTGAAGGGGTCATTCTTCACCCTCTGCTCCTTTTCCCTCAGCCCAGCCCAAGAAAAACATATCCCCTATAGGGACACATCAATAGTTAAGCCTTAATACCATGTAGCAGCATTCTAAGTTTTGATCTCTTAAAAAGCAGCTGCTAAGAACTATAAAAGCTGGGAATTGCATTGGTCTTCTCAGCTCAGTTACTGAGAGATGCAAAATAAAAAAAAAGCTGGATGGATTTTATTGAAAAAGGCAAGAAAAGCTCTATCTGAAGGACAAATGGAACAAAGATAAGGCTGACTGGGGAATACTCTGCTTGCCAGTTTCATTACACTTTACTTCTTTATGCAACCAACTACTGAAATTCAATATACGAGCAGGAATGGCACATGTTCATGTTATGACATAAACCCTTTTGATTTATGCAGTAGATTTATCTAGTGTGGTCTTTTTCTCCTGGCATGTTTTCTCACTGCCCCTCCCCTCTCCTTTTTTAACTATTCTGCAATATTTATTTTTTTTAATGTTTTCTTCTCCACTACTGGGCTGCTAATGGCACCAGATATACAATCTATAAAATCCCTTATATAAAACATAAATATAAAAAAAATGAAGAAAGGCTGATTCCTTCCCCTTGAGGGAAAAAAGGAAACTGAAAGCTTACTTAGCCATGTTTATAAATGAAACAATGTCTATTTATTCACTCATTCCACAAACATTTATTAAATGCCTACTTTTGCCAATGTCTAACCAGGAAGAACAGAAAAGATCAACAAGACAGCCCACCAGAATGAGTGCTGCCTGTAATAATGACATATACAAAATATTAGAGGAACAAACAGAATGGAGTAATAACTGCCTGAGACAACCTAGAAATGTTTCACTAACAAGGTACCTATCACTTATGGACACAAAGGAGGGACAAATTACAGTCCCTGAGCAGCTGAGAACATTCAGTTGGCACAATTTTGATGGATGCCACCTTTATAACATAATGTAGGATCATTTGACCCTTACAGCTTTAATTCCCATTCTAAAAAATAAGGTTCAAGAAGGTTAAGAGTTTTTTCTAGACTCACACTGGTAGAAAGTGGCAAAACAGGGATTCCTGATCTTCTACGCCTGAAGTGCTTTCCATTGAACTACGGAGATGAATTGCTTGTGGACCACTTACACTGCAAATGCTTTTTTCTGTACTTAAAAAATACAAAAGATAATCCTTGTTATTACCATGATTACAACTACTATAAATTCTCCCAGGCTGACAAGCCAAATGGCTAACTTCAGGTGTTTATATGATCTGCAGCACTAGCCTTTCATATAAGAAGAATGATTACATAATAAGTGAATCTATCATAAATAGGAATTCAAGTGTCTTCTTCACGGGCTAAAAAGGGTACATAAGACCAAAAAGCAGTGATCGCTCTTTAAACCCATACTGCTGTATTAATGTCATGGTTTATTGCTTTAAAGTAAAAAAATCTTACCAAGGAGATGCACTCGTTTTTTAAATTGTCTATTTGTGCCCAACTAAAGCAAATAGAAAAATTATGGTCAGATAATGCCCCGTTTCGTCCAAAGATATTCCCACCACCATGAAGTATAAGCCTTTCTAAAACTAAGATAGAAAATTCTGAAATATGAAGATTTTGTTTATCTACAAATCTGATCCTTAGTAGAGAGAAAAACAAAATATTAATCTCAATCAATCACTATTCCTTTTAAAAGAAAATAGATGGCAACCTGTGGGTCTAGTTATTGAGTAATTCTCCTACTTCTCCCTCTATCCCCCCCGTCAACATACTACTGCAAGCAATGACTCATTCTTACTCAGTAAGACCTGAGCAAGCTCTATGTTTTTCACACACAAGGCAGATAAATTCATTAAATGCAGCCCCACCATATTACTTACTAATTACAAACGAGAAAAATGGTACCTTTATAAGAGAGAAATGTGGCAGACATCAACTTACTCAAGTGATTAAACTTAATATGATCAATAAGGGACAAAGTGATATAATGTGTTTTCCACTGTGATACAATGAGAAAGGTACAAATCACCAATGTAGTATTTCTGCTAAAAAGTGCCTGAATTGAATTTGTTCATGAAAAAAAATCAGACAAATATTCTGCAAAATAACTAAGCTGGATCGTCAATGTCAGGGGCCAGCCCTGTGGTGTAGGGGTGGAGTTTGCACACTCTGTTTTGGTGAACAGTTCGGATCCCGGGTGAGGACCTTCGAACCGCTTGTCAGGTTATGCTGTGGCAGGCGTCCCACAAATGGGGTAGAGGAGGATGGGATGGATGTTAGCTCAGGGCCAATCTTCCTCAGCAAAAAAATTAGATTAAAGGAAAATGAAGAGACCCCAAAACGAAATACAATGTGTAATCCTTGACTGGATACTGGATAGGGGAAAAATGGCTTTAAAGGACATTATAAAGACAACAGGGAAACTCTGAATATGGACTGAATACAAGATTGTAAATTTTTATCAATCCTAAATTTTTTAAGTGTAATAATTTTATTCTAGTACTTAGGAAAATATCCTTAGTCTTAAGAGATACAGGTTGAATTATTTACGTGTAAAGTCTCATGATGTCTACAACTAATTCTTAAATGTGTCAGTCAAAAGGCTAATGACAATAAATATTCATATGTATACAATTATATAGAAAGAAATAAAAAATGCAAAATGTTAACAATTGATTAATGTAACTGAAAGGTATATTGTAACTCATTGATCTAGTCTTGCAAATTGTGTTGTTATACATTTATAAAACTACAAATTTGGGGGAATATTCATTAGATGGCAGTAAGTAGAAGGGAAAACAATGCTACATATCATAAACAATAAACCTATCATATATGCATTTCTAGTCATAATCCAATTGCTAATTTCCTACATGAGAATTATTCTCAGGGTGGGCCATCTGTGGCAAACGTTCAAGCAAGGGGAGCCCTTCACTCTACTCCTACCACACACCTCCTCTCCTTAGCCTATGTACCAGCTGATTCGTAATCAAGGGATCCAAATCTAAAGTTGAGCCTTCCAAATAAAACCTCCCAAATGAAAGAATGAAATACATTCAGAAGTGAAATGGCAATGATTTTCATATTATTAACCATTTAGGACTGCCCACACCAACAGTTCCTTCAGTTTGTTCAATCATTAACAGGAAATTCATTTTATTTTTATAACTAACATTGAAATAGCCCTCACTACTTCTAAATTGTGGAAAGTATCTCCATCGTTAGTAAAACATTTCTCTTTGCTTTCCAATTTGTAATATGTTAGTTAAATTAGACAATAAACAATTCCTCAAATATTTAGCTCAAGGACACCCAAAAAGAAGTGACGAATATGCTTACAAAAGGAAATCAGGTACAATTCATAGGCAATTTTTATTTTGCCCTCTTCCATCAATTAAAAAAAAAAATTTAATAATACAATGAATGACATCACTCAATCAGCATCTAATCCCTAGGCTCCGGATGTTCATCATGCCTCAGGTGTTATTTAAGCAATAAATCCTAACAAGGTGAGCTTTATCATCCCACACTGCGGCTCTGGCAGGAAAGGGCACAAGGTGATAGCAAAAACCACTAGGAACAAGATAATTCCTGACAGCTGCTGCTTGAGCGCAAGTTAAATTGAACAGTTTATCTCAGCATGAAGATGTTATAAGGTTTTATGTTTAATATTTTTAAATTAACATAAAACTCAGAGAAAGCAGTTGGGCAATCTTTCACAAACATGACATACTACAATCACTGTATAAGCTGGATTAGTACTTATTACCATGCTACTACAGAATTAAGCTGTTTTTAGACCACCAAAGAGCTTTAAATTGCAACTTTTGTCTCTGTAAGAGAAACCTATATTTAAAATGTCTGCTAAATTCAAATTAATGGCTACATCATTAACTTACTATCTCACCAAAAATATAAGTAAGCTGCTATTATAATCGTCTAACCAAAACGGCTCTGTGCTGCAAGCACATTAACACCATCCTAGGTATCCAGGATTGTATCGCCACACATTTCCACTGTTTTCAATGCACATTACATCTACAATCTGAGTCATACGTGCCTAAGGAATCCAAAATAATTCAACACAATGAAATTCAAGGTTAGAGATTTTATTCTTTTCCGGCTCAGTTTGAAAAAACCAGTTGTTGCTCTTTTACCCTAGGCTCTTAATATATAAAAAGAGATGCTGAAACATACCTAAGCACTATAGGACTGCAACCTTTATGATCAGAATGCATATTTTTATATTTTAAATGGGATGGAAGGGAGGTAAAATGAGAAACAGAAGACAGGCATTCAATATCCCAACCACCATCACAAACAATCCAGTAATAATTTTTCATGGCCTAGGTCATCTCACTCCTGCCCTATGAAATCTTTTCAACCATCCCCCCATACAATTTATCACATAATGGTCATATAGTATACAATTTAACACAGACACCAGTTTGGGTTGTGTTACTGATAATTAAATAATTCCTCACAGGGCTTCAGTAGGCCTTTGACAAAAGAGTAAATTGCATTCTTTCACCTCTGTCACTTTGCTCAATAACTAAACTCCTTGTCTAGATTCATGTTGCTCAGTCTCATTACCAAAGTCTTTGTTATTTTGTTATCTACCTCGAGTTCTTCCTTGTTATCTACTCTCCAGGATTCTAGATCTTATACTTTCTGTGATAGAGTATTTTCTGTGATGATGGAAATGTTACAGAACATTTACAGATGCTACAGAATGTTACAGATGTTACAGAACAGTACAGAATCTGTACTGTCCAACACAGTAATTACTAGTTACATATGGCTATTGAACACTTGAAATGTAGCTAGTGCAACTGAGGAATTAATTTTAAATTTAATTTGATTTGATTGATTTAAGTTTAAATTAAATACCCATACAGTAATGCCTACTATATGGGAAAACACAGCTCTGGATGGACCAGCTTCCCTTAACCCAACACTCCACCCACGGTACCTAAATGCAATTCCTTACTTACTTGATTTTCTTATACAGACTCTTGAGCTGCTTGTAGTAACCTAATTTCTAAGTTCCTCCTGACTAGCTGAATTTCACCCACCAGGCTATTGAATTCTGGAATGGAGCTATTTTTTTTTCCTTCTGATAATTAGAAAACCTATGTTCATTACAAAAATGTTTTAAATACAAAAAATAGAAATTAAGGGAATATCACCCACAACCACCCCAAAAAGAGATAGCCACTATTGCATTCCAGTGCTCATTTACTAAGTATATGTTGAGTGTCTATTATTTGCAAGGTACTAGGCTAAATGATGGACATAAAATGGAAAATAAAGTAGCTGAGGCAAGAAGAAAATTGGCAGGTTAAGGAACTGAACGGAGACCAAGGAGGCTGGAGCAACTCCTTCAATGAGAAGGTAGCCAGAGAAGAGGCTGAGAAAGTCTATGGGCTTTTGTAAGACATGAAAAGAATTTGGGTTTCATGGTAACAGCAATGGAAAGAGACTGAAGGATTTTAAGTAGGGAAATGACAAAATTATATATGCATAGTGGGTATATTTACTTTCATTCTTTTCACTTTGTAACATGTATATATTATTATATAGTTTTCTTTGTCTGATTTTAACACAACACTTAACATGTTGTTTTACTACAGTAAAAATTATTTCTAGGGGCCAGCCTGGTGGCGTAAGTGGTTAAGCTCACACGTTCCACTTTGGGGGCCAAGGGTTCGCAGGTTTGGACCCCTGGCACGGACATAGCACTGGTCATCCAGCCACACGGTAGCAGCATCCCACATAAAAAAAATAGAGGAAGATTGGCAACAGATGTTAGCCCAGGGCCAATCTTCCCTACACACAAAAAAATTATTTCTAAAACATACGATCAAAATATCTCCAAGCAGGGCTTGATTTTTATATTCATATATCTAAAGTTTTAAAATTTTCTTTGTATAATCCCTTATGTTTATATTACACTTGTTTATGTATTTCATGAAATTTTTTTATTACTTCTTAATATTAGAAAACTTTAACTACCATATGGAAAACAGACTGGAAGGAATCATTCTGGAAGAAGGGAGAACAGCAAAGAGAAGAGAAAAGAAGTGACAGTGGCTTGGACTAAGATAACAGTGCTAGAGTTGATGAGAAGTGGCGTCACTGAGTTTCCTGATAGCTCTGTCAAG